GGATTTGGCAGTAAGAAATGAAAGGTAAGAAATTAAATGACAGAAAAGTATTACATAACAACAAATTGTTTAAATATATATATATATATATAACCTATATAAAAGCAAGTGTGCGTCACGTCACGCTTGATTTGTCTTGCTTTCTATAAATAGAAGAGTCATAAAAGCCAAAATGCATTTATCCAGATAGAATAGTTCGATTACTGTCTGCTCATTGCGATTTTAGGAACGGGTGTGCAAGGGGGCTGTGAGAGGTAGTACTGTGAAACCTTATAAGTGTTGTGAGTGTTGGTATAATAAGTTTAAAGTAAAGACGTAGCCTAGAACCAAGTGCATAAAATTTTTCATGAAAGTAAAAATATTTTAAACTTAAATCGTTTCTGAATTAAGCTATTTTCTGTTATATCACCAACGTTTTAAATAAAAAAAAAAAACTTATTTAATCAACAGAGACTCTAATTTAATAAATCAACAAATATTTTTTTACCATTTTTTTGTCTATACATTTCATTTTATACTTTCAGCACATAGACTAACAACAATATTAGGTAATACTTTTGTTGCTAAGCAACAAACATAAAAGCCATTGTTGGAACGTAGTGTTTACCAAGACGCACTGGCTTTTCTATATATTGGAAGTTGTTAATCTAATTGATTTTTACCAATAATTATTCTGTGATTTAACTGGATTAAGGAAGTTGTATATCGATAGCTCCTGAAGAAGTTGTAATTACGAAATATTGAGCTAATAAAGTTACATTCTGGAGTCGTAATTTATTTACGTCTATACAAATTCTATGAATACGCCACGCACTCATTTCATGAATGATCTTAATTTTGACTGGCTCACAAAGGAATTTACCGACGTTTGACTGCTTCGACTGCTCTTTTCTGCCTCTTTGTTGGTCAATCTTGATTTCACAAAACTTATTTATTTCAGATAACTACGAAATGTGAGGTTAGGGTATACTATGGGGTGGAGGTGGTAGTACTTGCCCCGTAATTTTTGACGGGCAATAAGCTATATATATATATATATTACATATTAAACAAAATATGTCAAATCCTAGGTAGATTAGCTTTCAGATTTATATAAAATATATTGTTACGACAGCGGAAGTCACGTGACGCTTGTAACACGTCATGAGTTTCTAGAAGGATCATGACTGTTCCTGGCAACTCTAGTCTTTTCCAGGCGCCCTCCATTTTAGTATATAAGCCCGGCAAATACAGCGGAGATAATAATTACAGAAATAGAGACAGATAATTGAGTCAAGAGAGCGGTAGTGACCATAAGTAAAGTGCGTGAATCGTTGTGAATTATAGCGTGTGTTTAAGTTAAAATGACTGTGGAAATTCTTTGTATTGCAAAGTTGTATTGAGAAAGAATAAACTCGTTTTATTTAAGAAAGGACTTGTATCGATGAAGTTCCTCGAGAAGAATTTATACCGGAAATTAACAAACGACCAGAGACGTAATTATATCAAAAGTACTTATTAAAACATGTTAGATACCATTTTTATTTATTCACTAAGCATAAGTATAACATAAAATACACTTCAATATTAGAATTAGGTATATTTTGCTGAAAAAAAATCTAATTATGTAAATATCTTATCCTCATTATTACTGGAGATAAGAAGCTAGCAACCAAACATAAAAAATAATCATTACTTTTAACAGAATCTTCAGTGATTAACTTTTGAATTAAAGCTGAATAATTATGCAAAAAGAAACAAATGATAATCAGATAAATATTTTTGTCTTGAATTTCGCGCAAGGTTACACGAGGCTATCTGCGCTAGCCGTCCCTAATTTAGCAGTGAAAGACAACAGTGAAAGCAGTGAAGGCAACTAGTCATGACAACCCACAGCCAAATCTAGGACTACTCTTTTACCGTAGAATAGTGGGATTGACTGACACATTATAACGCCCCCACGGCTGAAATGGCGAGTATGTTTGATGGGATGGGGATTCGAACCCGCGACCTTCAGATTGCGAGTCGAGCGCCCTAACCACCTGGCCATGCCAGGTAATATAAAATTGTGTATTTCTTAACACCTGATTATACAAATGGATAACAACATATCGTCGCAAAAATGTGTTAATAATTATACTATACTATTTTAGTAGTTAAGCCTACTGCTAGAAAAAATAATTAATATCCACACCAAATAATCTGTATTAATCATGCTTACAATCTGGGCTGACCAAGATCAGTTAATCTTTTATTTACTGCTAATGCCCTTAAGAAAATATTATATCATACTACTACATAAATATGAGTATTATATATTCTCTAAAGCTTCTCCTAAGTTCTGATAAAGAAACATTCGTTAGGTTTTATATTAATCAGAAGTATGTTGGTTATTCTTTTGTTACTTCGAGATTTGTGTAAAATGAAATAACATGTGTGATCTTACCGTATCCGTAGCATCCACCAGTCATAAGTATTATGAACAAATGAAAGTATTACTATAGCAACAGTGATGCACTGTTATTGACTTGTGTTAGATATTACAATATAATAAACGCAGAAACGCCCATAAAAAACCGTTAAATGCAATAACTGAAAATGTGTTTGTATCTTCCCATGGACTCAATGATCCTCCATACAAAACTTGGTGAAAATCCATCAACAGGGGGCGAAGTAGAGGTAAAACGTACACATTTTCAGTATTGCATTTTGCTTTTTGCGGTTTTTACCACTACTTCTCCCCCTGTTGATGGATCTTCACCAAATTTGGTATGAAGTTTTGTTGGGCTCATGCGGTGATACATGCAAAGTTGTGGTTTCATAGTTTGTGTTTGCAGATAAGGGAAGCAACTTTTTGTGTCCTAAGATAACCTTTCATTAATCGCGAATTTACATAAAATCTACTCTAGCATTTAAAACCTGGAACCTATAAATAAAAATAAAGATACTCATTGTAAAGCTGTATTACTTGGCTTTGCTATTACTCGACTT